CCTAACCCTAACCCTAAACCTAACCCTAACCCTAACCCTAACCCTAAACCTAACCCTAAACCTAACCCTAAACCTTACCTTAACTGAAATCGCGCTTCTGTCGGCGCGCTGTTGTCGGTGCGCTGTTGCCGGCGTGCTTTTGACATCACGGTTTTAGCGCTACGGTTTTGTCAGCGCGCTTTTGACGTTTGCGCTTTTGTCGGGTCACGGACACTGAAGCCCACTCAGATATCCTACATTTTAAGCTGGGTAATGCTTTGGATTCAGTTGTGAAGAACAAAATAATTAAACACACATAAACAATACTCTGCAACTGAGGCTTCTAGTAATCTGCCTGAAAAGAAATAACACCAACCTTGCACACAGGGCTCAATAGATATCTGGCCTAATGCCTGAGGTTTTTCAAGGTCAGGCTAACAGATTAGATTCATGCCAGGGGGATGCTGTTCCACAGTGCAGGCATTGTGACAAAGTAGGCATGCCTCCTGGTTCCTGATAGAGGTCATTGTTTCAGAAAAAGGATTCAGAGCATGCCTAACTTGATCTGATGGGACAAGCAGAATCAAATAGAGAGAGACCTACAAATAATCTGGGCCTGTGCCATGTAGGCTTTACAGTGATAGCTAGTATCTTGAATTGCACCTGGAAGTCTACTGAAGCTGCATTCTGAACTAGCTGCAACTTTCTAATCCTTTTCAAGGATCATCTTATGCAATCACTGCAATGGTCCAACTGAGTTGTGACAAGATGTGAGTGATCATGACCAGAGTCTTTCAATCTAATAGCAGGCATATAATGAATGTTTACAAATGACATTCTAGCCATGACAAACATTTAAACCCATACTGTGAGTCCAAGTGGACATTAATTGCTTATCAATTGTGAGTCAAGGATGGAATATCTCCAGATCCAAGAGGCTCTCAAGCCACAGTTACTTGTTCTTGACAGGGTCAAAGTAAAGTCTGTTTTTCTCCATCTGGATTCCACAGACTCCAGACAGAGGGGGGAAATATTCAGCTGTGTGAAGAGAGATATGCAACTAGTATCATCAGCAAATAATGATACTTAATCCCATATCAATGGAGAACCTTATGCAGAAGTTTTATGCATATAGGAGATGCACCCCAAAACTGTGCCCCACACTCCCAATCTCCCTAAATCAGTATACCATGTTCCAGAAGGGCCAGGATGGACATACCACCCACATACCAAGCCTGCTGAAGCCATTCATGGCTTTGAGTAATCAAGTATGAAATATGAAAATATGACTGAAATGAGATCCAAATAACCCACTCCCTCCAGGGTTCTCTGGCACTGTAAGATTACCACCTTTTCAACATCCTTCTCTGAGTAGGAAAGGCTGAAAACTAGATGAAAGTTCTCCAGTTTCATTGGCTTCCTATGAAGAGCAGATCACTGCTTTATTTGAAGTTGGCGGAACTGTCCTCTTTTTCCAGAAGCATTCACCCTTGCAAGGATCCAATCACCTGTCATCTCCTGGGAAGCCTTGAGCAACCAGGAGGGACATGGATCTAAAACACAAGATCGCAGCTTAAAACCCAAGGATCATGTCCATTTCATTAGGACTAAAAGGATTAATCTTTCCTTGTTAACTAAGCATAACTTAATTCTATGGGAACTGCACAGAAGAGCTCCAGTTCAAAGCAAATGCAAGTGACTTATTCCAACAAATGTTTAGGACAATTCTTTCTGGGGGCCTATAAAACCTGACTTGATTCCTCTTTACTTAGAAGAGACTGGGTCACTGTAATCAGGCCTGGCTTTTGGAAATTTATAATAAAACAAGAACTGAAAAATAATACTTTTTTGCCGCTCTTATCATCACAATGTAATCCTTGAAGATGTTTGACCTCTAGAATTGGTTGGATTCACTCCTTGTTTTTCTCTAATAGTGCTCTTGGATCTCATATACCATTTTGTTTCCCAGAATTCCTCTGAAAACCAAGAGGCCTCTACACAGATGCAATTTGATCCAAAGCCATAGTCACCCTCTCAATCCAAGAAGAGTCTAAGGCCTTAGTTGAACCATACAACAGCATGGGACAACTCTCTGCTTGAAATTCAAAAGAGTCTACAAGGCACTGACGGCAGGTTAGACAACCAAATCCCCCCCCCTCGTGATAGGTGAGGGCTGAAATCTAAAGTTGACAAGGTGTGATCTAACCAGGTCTTCCCAAGATGAAAGTCTCTGGCTAATCAAAAATTTAATTTCAGATTTCTAAAGCAAGGGAAACAGCTCCTGCAATAAAGGATAACTTTATAACTAATATTTTCACAGTCAATTATTGTGGGATGGTTGGATGTTATTTTTTGGTCTTAATCAAACCAGAGAAATACACTATCTTTTTACATTTCAGTTTGCTATCTCCTCTCTGCAGAAGGCATTATTATGCAATGCACAGTGTTAACACTGACAAGAATGTTTGTTAAATTTAATTAAAGATATTAATTTTGCAAAGAACAAAAATCACTGAGCCGACTGCGTGTCTTTTTTTCCAGATCTCCCTTTGGAAAATTACCTTCATTAGCACCGATTCACTGAGCTTCTCCCTGTTGACAATTTTTATAGCGACCTTTTGACATGTTACACAATGAACTCCCAACTTCACAAGTCCTACGGAAGAGAAAAAGAAAGAACATTGGTTAGAGGCATATTCACTTCTATGGCTGTTGACAACTACATCTTATTCAAATCTCTTGGACGGACACACACACACACACACACACACTTTTATTGGCCCTTCTTCCTCACACAATAATGGATACATTTGGCCTGCAGAAACAAAAGTATAAGTGTGACATTTAACTTTTCCTACAGTTTATGCAATTCAGTTTTACCTAATCTACTAGATAAATCAGAATATTGGAGTCTAAATTG